AGCCTCCTAGTCTATGGAAAAGCCCCCATTCCTCTCACTCACCACAGGTCAATGCAGGGCTCCCTGCCTGCTCTGCTCTCAATTTGGTTCACTAATTCCCACTCTCAGAGCTTTTGCATCTTTATCCCTGCTGTAACGATTCAGATGCAACAGTGGCAGCAGGAAATTCAAGCCACGGTTTCCAGAGATGCAGGTTCCAGCTTCGGCACTGAGACCTTAGCTGTTCTAGTCATAGCACTGGGATTGCATTTCCAGTTGGTTTCTCTCAGCTTAGTTTTTTCCTGGGTCGGCAGAGTATATCTGGCCCTGCTTAGGACTCCCCACACCTCACCATTCCAGGAATTAAGCTGACTATCTCAGAGAGCCTCCGTACCTGCTGTTATCTATCCACCATGTTCTCCCGAAACTCGTGATCATTCTTTATAGCTGAGTAGTACTCCATTGTATAAAAGTACCACATCTTTTTATCCATTCTTCATTTGATGGGCATTTAGCTTGCTTCTCAGATCTGGCTATAACATACTGTGCTGCTATAAACATGGGTGCACATATATCACTGTGGTATGATGTTTTCAATTCTTTTGGGAATAGCTGGATCAAATAGGACTTCCAATCCCAGCTTTTCTGAAGAACCTCCAGACTGACCTCCACAGTGGTTGCACCAGTCCCACCAATAATACAGAGGAGTTCCTTACTCCACAGCCTCTCCAGCATTTGTTGTTGGTAGTTTTATCCGGGCCCTTCTTTCTTGAGTGAGATGTAATTTCAGTGTGGTTTTGATTTGCATTTCTCTAATGACACAGGATGCTGAACATTTTTTTTCATATATTTATTTGCCATTTGTATTTCTTTCTCTGAGAACTGTGTATTCATCTCAGATGCCCATATTTAGATTGGGTTTTGAATTTCAGGGGTCTGAATTTTAAAATTCTTTATAGGGTCTAGACAGAAGTCTTGGTCTGAGGAACAGTTAGCCAAGATTTTTTCAAAATTCATGGGTTTCCTTTTTATTCTGTTGTAGATTTCTTCTGACATGCAAAATATTTTAGTAAGATGACATCACATTTATCGAATCTGGGAAGTATTTCCTGGGCAGTTTGATTTTTGTTCATGAATTCTCTACCTAATCCTATGTCTTCAAGATTATTCTTACTGTGGCTTCCAGCAGATTTGGTGTTTCTCTTTTAATATTTAGGTCTTTGATTTATTTTGATTAGCTTAGTACATGTTGATAGGCATAGGTCTAGTTTTTATTTTTGTCATGTGGATAGCGAGTTTTTCCAGCCCCATTTATTAAAGAGACTATCTTCTTCCAGTGAACACGTTTGCCATCTTTATCAAAGATAAAGTGGCTGAGTGTTTTTGTAGTTGTAGTTGTATGATCTAATCTCTTCCATTGATCTTCATGTCTACTTTTATTCCAGTACCATGCTGATTTTATCACAGTAGCTTTGTAGTATATCTTCAAGTTAGGGGTTGTGATGCCTCCTTAGGCAGCTACTTTGAAGATGACAAGATGCATTATGTTAGTCACTATTGTTTTCCTATTACCTTGTTTTGAAGCCCTGTATGGCTTTCATTGTCTTCTTTTGATCGGTTCTGTTCTGTTTTGTTTGATTTTATTATGCCTGACCATATGGGCCGTTATTTTGAAGATAACAAGAGGCATTATGGTAGCTATTATTGATTTCCTTTTACCTTGTTTTGAGGCCCTGTACCACGTGTATTATTTTGTTTTGATTGACTCTATTCTGTTTTATTCCATTTGGTTTTATTCACTTCAAAATAAAAAAGAAATAATTTTAAATATAACGGCATTTGTGCAGCATACAACACTGGCACTACAAAACAATTTACTGTCCAATTAGCAGATGTGAGGGCTATAAAGAAAATGAGAACACCCTGGTCTCTTTTCTGTTGTTGTCTGTGGATGTTACCATGGAAGAAATGTTTGTTCTTATGCCCATTCCCTCACTAAGAAAACTAGACTACAGCTGTGTTTCTGTGGAAACACAGAAGGATCAAAGCACCAAGGCTGCAGACAAGTTAGTGTTGACATCTACTGTAAATGACAGCAGTGCGGTGTTCCCTTATGCTACTACATCATGGAACACTGCTTCCTCTTGAGCCAGCCCTTAATTTCAACATTCCAATACGTGTACCCAGGTCAATATTGGACTCAGTTTTCTGGGTCCTTTACTTTGCTATATATATAGTCTACACTAAATGTGATTAATTGCAAAACAGAATCTCTTCAAGAAACTTTCATAACAAAATAACAGATTCCCTATTAACAAGTGTAGGAGGACAAATTTAATAGCCCAAACTTGCACAGATGGCACAACAGTTCTGACTTGAGACCCCCTGTGTTGAAGGAGTCACTAGCAGAAACTGCTAGGTGTTGTAGGAGCTGTAATTTTCTGAGTGGAGTGGGAAACAAGAATGTTTCTTTCCCAATTAGTCATCCTCTGAGCCCTCAGCAGATCTTTCATCTGTAGCCACTTTCCTATCTGTGCGCTTATTTCTCCTTTTCGGTGCTTTACTGTTAGCTACAGCAGGGACATGGGCTGTTTCTTCTCTCCTTTCCTTTTGGATTTCTTAGTGTCTCTCTCCTGACTTTCTTCAGAACTACTACATGCTGAACCCTCTGATTTGGAAGTGTGACTTTCTGCCCCTAAAAATATAACTGGTTTTTGAGAGACTTTTTCCTGGATTTTTTTTATAGTGCTCATGTGGTCGCTTCCTTTTCCTGGTACTAGAAGCACTGGTTTCTTCTGAGAACCTGCTTGAGGAATCTGCTATTACATCTGTGGCTACTTTTTTGCTTCTCTTCTGTGTTTTTGCGTGATCTTTGCTTCTTCTTCTTTTTTTTTTTTTTGTGGTATAATTTCTTTGACTTCTTTTGTTTGTGGGATGATTGTATCTGGGGAGATGTTTTTTCCCCCATTGGAAATATCTGACTGCTCATTACTGTCTGTTTCAAGCACAGCATCAAACTCCTTATAACCACTGTGAACTCATTGGCGTGGTATGATAGGTTCATAATCATATGGTTTTTTGTGCTAGGATTTAGCCTTAAGTAAATCCTCTTCCAGTGTTCAGGAAATTTCAGATTTTGGCCTTCAATGTTCTCTCTGAATTTCTTCCTCAAAATCATCACTATGCATCTGATTTGAACTGCTGGGTAACATTTTCCTTTTGGTTTCCTGGTAAGTATCCTTCATCTGTTTCTATACTTCTCTTATTTTTCTGATTGTTCCTGAATGATATTGTGAGCATTTGTTTGCTGGGTAACATTGCTAAGGAGAATCCTCCCCAGTTGAACCCTAGACATTTTCAGTCCTATGCAGTATTCTTGCACGTGTGGAGGGAGGAAACAATGTTAGAGAGACTGCGCTGGACCCAATCTTAATGGTTGTTATGTCTCTGCTCACACAGTCCTAGCACTCTCTCTGATCCTATCAGTGAATATGCTTATGGTGTTTAGGTTCAGATCCTTATCAGGGCAAAGAGATTCCTGTGTTCATTGAAAATCACCAGTGAGAGGCCTCATGGTGTTCCTGCTTAGATAAGGGGCCCATTGCTACAGAGAGCAGAACATACTGAGTGTCTTACCTTACAAGGAAGTTCTTCATGTCACTTTGCAAACTTCGATGACTACACCAGGAAGCTTCATAGGCTGCATCCCTAACCATCCAGTACCATTATTCACTACTATCTGGCAGGTGTTGGCTGTCACTTCAACTTGCCTGGTTTCTCTCAGACACAGCGTTTTCCTCTTCTCTGTTACTGCAGCCTGGGAGCCAAGTCACCTTTAGTAGCTACAAGGCTCAACCTCTCTGTAGTCTCACTTCATTCTCACAACTGCAGCCACAGAAAACACAGACTCAACCCTGAAGTCCGGGGCTTGTGCTTTTACAATGTTGGTGTGCATCCAGTCGTTGAGTGTGTGTCTCAGAAATCTCTCAGATCCAGCACCAGTAAATGGAGCTTCTAGGAAATCCCAAAGAAAATCCTGATGCTGTTCAGAAGAGATTTCGTGTCCTGAGCAGAGAGAGACAGAGAGAGAGAGAGAGAGAGAGAGAGAGAGAGAGAGAGAGCTAGAGAGAGAGAGCTAGAGAGAGAGAGACAGAGAGAGAGAGACAGAGAGACAGAGAGAGACAGAGAGAGACAGAGAGACAGACAGAGACAGAGAAAGAGAAAGAGATATCTGGGGTACCTTGAGTTCCCATGGCCCATTGTTACTCATATATGCTGTGATTTTTACCAGGTAAATTATAGTGATTTGTGTCCTAGTGAATATCCATGCACATTGGGGGGCTACCACCAAATTCAGATTGTCAATCCTGTAATGGGGTGAGCTGTCCATTCCTTGATGAAGTTTGTGGTTTATAAGACCTTCAGGATGTGTCTCCCAGAAATGGGCATGAGCATGGTCTACAGAAGAACCTTGGAGCCACATTTTGCAAGATGAGTCTCAGAAGGGGGCCTTAGGACACATGCTCTTCCATGATCTGGATTCTTTGGATATATGCTCCCATGTGGAACGTTTTTTCCCCTGGTTCTGAGTGTGACATCTATAGCTGGGTGAGGTTGGAGTGGTACTGACCTGCTTGTATCTCCCGGTTCTGGTTGTTGGTCCTGCCACATATCAGTTGCCACTATCATGAGCACCAATCTTGATCAAAAAGCCCGATTATGCTGGTGACATTACATTTCACCTGTTGGTGCTGATTCTGGGTACCCTAAAACTCGGAACATTACACAGGGCATTTTGTCTGCAACACCAGTCACCACCCATCACAACCTGAGGCTCAGTGCCGCTTCCTGTGTGACTCCCTCTTCCAAAGATCGGATTCAAGTAGGGCTCAGCCTCCTTATAGTATCACAAACTTATCAGAATTGGGGACCTCAAAGACAAATGTCATGCCCCCATATGAGTCAAACCCTTATGACAAATCCCTGCCTACTTCCTGTGGCTGCAGGATAAAGAGGCCAAGATGCTTAAGGAGGAGGAGTGTGGATTCTTGCCAATGTAAGTTCCCATCCCTACTGCACTCCTCTGACACTTTCTGTTCCTTACCTGGCCAGTGAAGCTCCTCCATGCCTGTTTCTCCACAGATGTGGAGCCTGCTGTTTGTAACTCTCTGCCTCATAGGAGGGTCTGCTCCTAATCCTCAAGATAGGTCTTGATCCCATACCATGCCATCCTGCCCTGGAGGCCTCAGAAACCCTGGCCTCTGGGTCCTGGGATGTGTGCAACAGGTTGAGAATTGCTTCTTACAGCTCAGCTTTCCTCAAGCTTTACATATTAATTTTAGCACCAGCCATCAAAAGAGAGCTGGTGGGCATTGTCGGAGGGCACAATGCTCCAAAGGGGAAGTGGCCCTGGCAAGTCAGCCTGCAGGTATACCGCTATCACTTGGCTTCCTGGCAACACATATGTGGTGGCTCCCTCATCCACCCGCAGTGGGTGCTGACTGCTGCCCACTGCTTTATAAAGTGAGTATTTCTTGGGCTATTGAGTTCTGGGTACAATATGGTGTAAAGGAGTGTGGTTTGGGAGACGGCATTGGAATTGGAGACACAAATCCTGACTCTGAGTGGTTTTGCTCAGAACTTTTGATCCTTAACCCATCATGCTCAGTGAGTACTCTTTAATGGGCTTTGGGGCTTCTTTCTGACCACAGTCAAAATGAGGATCCCATCAACCTACTGCATCATGACTAGGGATGTATACCTCTATGGAGGCCACAAGCTGTTGAGCGTGAAACAGATCATTGTTCACTTGGACTTTGTTGATGTTACACTGGGTGCTGATGTAGCATTGATACAACTGGCAGAACCCGTGCAAAGCTCTGCAGATGTCAAGCCTATCAAGCTGACCTCCCTGAATCATGAGGTCACCCAGAATGATGAGTGTTGGGTGACTGGGTGGGGCCAAACAAGTTTGAATGGTAAGTGTTGGGAACAGTCCTGATATTTTCCATCAGGTGCCACAGCAGCTGAAGCCTAGGCAAATTTAGATCATGCATTTAGGACTGAGGGCAGAAACATTTCACATTTGCACAGAAAAGAGGTTTTTTTTTTTTTTTTTTTTTTTTTTTTTTTTTTAGAAACAACAGCACCCAAGCTCTTTAATCTCTCTAGTTCTTCCAACAACAGGGGGAGATACTCATAGGTCAAAGCTGAGGATCTAGAGGGACACAGCCCAGTGCATTTTGAGTTCTCCATATGTTCTGTGGAAAGGGAAGTTGAGGATCAGGGTTCTTGAGAACTGGATTGCATGTATGTGATCTTAAGCCAGTTTATGGTGCCTGCCAGGAATAGTCATGTTTTAGTTGTGGATACGTGGGAGCTGTGCTAGCAGCAATCCTGCCACCATCTGCTCTCCCGTACCCCTAGATTTGCTGCCACCACCTTACCACCTGCAGCAGGTGAACGTGCAGGTGATTGAGACCTCTGACGGTGAGCGGCTGTACCAGAAAACTAATAGGTTTGGCTACCATAACAGGAGGATTATTCTCGATGACATGTTGTGTGCTGGCACTGAGGGCCACGGACCATGCTTCGTAAGTCCTTTTTGTTTTCCCTAAACTCACCGCAATGATTTATGCTTCAGGGTGAGGATTAATCATCTCCTTTAATTTCAGGGTGACTCTGGTGGCCCACTTGTCTGCAAGGACTCAGATTCTTGGATCTTGGTGGGAGTGGTCAGCGGGGGCCGTAACTGTAGCTGGAGTAATGTTCCTGCCATCTTTGCTCGTGTTGAGTTCTTTGTGCCCTGGATCAAGCAGCATATTCAGAGTTCCTCCTAAGTCCAGAATACGGCTCTCCACTGGTCAACCAAGGAGGTGCCTGGTGCCGTCCTACCAGTGCCTGGGCCTGCAGCTTCTCTTGCATGATGCAGATTCAACTTTTTTCCTAAACTCCTTGGAGCCCTAGAATTTCCTGAATACTCCTGGGTGAGAGCCTGTCCCTGGCTCCTGTGGCCTGTTCCTGAGCGGAGGTTGTAAGGTGTGTAGGGCAAGGGCCTGAGTTCCTGGCACCCGAATTTGCTAAGCACTCAGCTGTTGGAGGACAACTGAGATATTTCTGCTTTCTGCCTATGCTAAATAAAGATACTATGAAAAATCCTGATGAGATTTCATGCTGAGAAGCAATTGTCTTTCATTTATTAAAAAAGCAAGATTGCCATTTGAATGCCTCTTTCCAGATGAGACACCAAGGCCTTAAACCTCCACAGTTGGAGCTCATGTGTGCCTTAGGTCTGCACATGCCAATCTTTATTCTGTGTCCCACACCCTATCTTGTATCTTGGGAGTCAGGGATAGATATCAGATTGAGAACTTGTCAAGCTGTTCCCTCAGTGACAGAGAGCCTCACCTATGTCTTGGACTAGAATTTAAATATGTTGCACAAGAAAGCAGGTGACCGGGAATGACGGTCCTATTTAACCAGCTCCCATATCCTGGAAGGCGCAGTCCTTCAGCTCAGTCCAGAAGGGCAGTGCTTCAGTCCCTGCTCCAGATCTTCCATGCCACCCAGAATGGGAGGTGAGAATTCAAGGAGGTGAGAATTCATATTTGTGAGCCCAGAATCCACATACCCTGTCTCTACCATCTGGAGGGACATCACTTGCACACACAGATCAGCAATTCCATGACAGGGCAGGGAGCAGCTCACTACCAGCTGTCACTTCTGTGATCAGAGAGAGCTGCACTTCAAATTTCCGAATCTGGACCAATTAGAGAGTGGACACTCATGACCCAGGACTTGCCACCCAGTCAGCTGGCATGCAGCAAGCTCAAGAGGCACTACTGCTGATTGACTGGCTGCCCTAGCTGGGGATGTTCCCTATAGACTGAGGCCCCAGTGTTGTCATGGAGTGTGGCATGGTGCTCCAGCCTGCAGTTTCACTAGGTTACACAGTATTGTCACTTATCCCAGATGCAGCTCTGTTCCCTTGTTGCATTGTCTGTATCACTCTTCTTGCAGTCTCCCCAGGGGGCAATCACTGGAGAGTTGGGAGAAGGTAACAGTTCCCATTGTCTTTTTTGGTCATCTCTCTACCCATGGTCAGTCCTCAGGTACCTTTAGTCTCTTTTCAATCGCACTTATTGACTGACTTCTCGAAATGCGGAAAGCAAAGTGAGATCACTCTGAATGTATATACTATTGTGAGCCTGAGCTATGCACACAAGAAGCCTGTCTCTGTCCCCCGGCCATGGGTATGCCAGGACTATTATCAGGTTTCGATCTGGTTACCCTGTTCCCTCAAGGGCAGAGCACTGTACAAGCTTCCTGGAGCCCAGACTCATTGTGCCATACAGGTGCAGAGTGGGGCTGACAGGCTGCAAATCTGGCCTGGCCTAAGTGATCTATGGCATGGGAAGGTGGTGATTCTTGTGTGAAGCTGAGAATGGTGGGGAGGTGTGAAGGGTACTGAGGGAGATGGGGAATTAGCACTCATCCTGGCCTCCCACTGAGTTCTGAACAATTTCTACACGGTGACCCCCATTTCAGCAACACTGGTTGGCCCATGGTAAATCCCTGGGCAGTGCTCCCTTCCTACCCCTTTGTAGGATCTCCAGGAATACAGGGGTGCATAGACAATGGGCGGGTCTCAGTGGTCTCTCAACAGGGGTGAGTAGAAAGTATTGGAGCACGATCACGTGACACCGATTATCATTTCAAAGGACTTGGAAAATGTAGCTTCAGGAGGGCCACATCTGTGGCCACTGAATGTCTGACTGAGTAGACACTTTCTCCTTTTCTTCTATGGCTGATGCCCTCCTCTGAGCCCTTACACTACTCCTCCAGGAAGAAAGGGGTGAGTCCTCAGCTCCTGACGTGCTGGACCACACAGGATTCCACTGAAAGAGGCTCCAGCCCCTCTACCTGCCTGGGATACAGGATTTGGTACCCCATTCCTTTCACTGCAAAGTTCCTTCAAGGCTCCCTGGGATTTTGCCAGCCGAACTCCCCGGAGCTAAGACTGGGGGACAGTGCTTAGTTGAATTCCAATTGAAACTTTAATCATGAAACCTGTGCCCACTGGGTCCTCATGTGACCAATGAGTACTGTGTGCCTTCTATAGCATTCAAAGTGCTGGGCCTTCAACATATTTCTGTATAGCTCATGACAAACTCAGATGAGAAAAGGGTCTTTACCTTGCCAGTATTTCCTGTCAGAAACTACATGAACCCCCTCTCATTTCTTCAAAACTATTGTCCCTGAGAAAAATTAGTGTAGTTAGCACCATGTGACTGGAAGACACATTTTGTGGTCCAAAACTCTTTATAAATTCCGGGGTCTTGTAAGCAGAACAGGGAACAGACTGCAACAAGTATTGTGTCAAGGATAGTGCGATTTAGGAAAAGTAGCGTGACCGAGAGGAGAAACTACCTCCTTGTCCATGTACTAAATCAGCTTGAGACAGTTAGGGATCATGATTGCTCTATGTTGGCACTGACTGCTGGAATGACCAAATAAACTCTTGGGCACAGTAAACTGTTTGCAGCATGCCATGGTTCAATAAAACTGCCAGGAGACGTTGCTCAAACCACAGAATCAGAATGTTTGCATGGGATGGGAAATTGATACAGAAATTCTTTGAAGAATTTTGCAACTTGACTTGCTCCTGAAAAATTAAAAAGCACTGATTCGGGGAGATTATACAGCTGTGCAATACATTATTATTGTCTCAGTAGCTCTATTACAGAGAACATCTCTTTTTTGAAGCTTATGATCATGATGACCTTGGTTGCTTCTGGAAAACTAAAAGCCACTTTCCTTGACAACACTGATTCTGCATGTGTGCCTGCACAGACATATCTGAGGGATGACTAAGACGCCATATAAAACTTCACATTTGTTGCCTCAATCCTTGAGTCAGGTATCAAGCTGTTCCTTGAAAGACTGATCATGCAATGATATGGAGATTACTTGTGATTTCACTGCTATGCACTTTTCAAACCTTGGGCTCTGCAGCAATGCAATCAGCAACTGGGCACTGTGGGCGGTTGTGTGGGCCAGCTGGCCACCACTAGAGTTGTGGATTCCACTCAGATAAGAGCTCCCTTGTAATAAAGAGTAGCACAGTCAGTGTGACTGTCCTAAAGGTGGCTTTCATGTCGCTTATTAGGCTGTGGTGGCTGTACCAGAAGGGCATGCAAGGTGCATCCCTGACCTCCCAGGTCCATTGATTATCCCTGTCTGCAGATGTTGACTGTCATCTCACACCTTGTTTTTCCCACACACAGCCTTGTGCTCCCTCTCTTTTCCTCCAGCATGGGTGCCAGGAAGACTCCGGGGACGACAGAGCTCAGCCTCCTTGTAGTATCCCAGCATTCTCACAGATGTGGCCCTCAAAGGAAAAGCTTCAGGTCCTGGATTCCAATGTTGGTGCTTCTGGAATTTTGGCGTTCACCCTGTCCTGGAATGTGTATGTGGGAAGTCCCTCAGATTCAACAGCAGCAGGGGAAGGTCTAGGAAATCCCAAAGCAAAAGCCTGATGCTCTTGAAAGGGAATAATTTGCCCTTAGTGGTAACGCATATTTACACTGCTATGTACACAGACACACACATACACACACATAGACGGACAGACACACAGACAGACACACACATACAGACAGAAATAGAGACAGAGACAAAGAGAAGACAGACACACACACTCACACACACACACACACACACACAGAGAGAGAGAGAGAGAGAGAGAGAGAGAGAGAGAGAGAGAGAGAGAGAGAGAGAGAAAGAGAACAAGGAGGAAAAAGAGGTGAATCAGCTGTGTCACCTTGGAACTCTTATGGCCCATGTGTTACTGAGATATGCCATGGTGCTCACCAGGGTCCGTCACAGTGGTCTAGCGTCTCAGATAGTGGGTATCTATTCCCTGTGGGTGGGCACCCCAATTGTGAAATCTCAATTCTGTATTGAGATGGCCTGTCAGCTCCCTGATGAACTGTGTGATCTTTAGGACCTTGAGGATATGTCTCCCAGTAATGTACTTGGGGACAGTCTGCAGGGACAGCATGAAGGCCATTTCTCGAAGAGAGGTCCAACAGAAGGCCTTGGGACCCATGTTCTTTCATGGTCTGTATACTTTGTATGTATGTTTGGCATGTAGAATGTTTGTTTCCCTTATTCTGAGTGTGACTTCTACCATGAGGGCAAGGTTGGGGAGGTACTGACCTGCTTGTATCTTGAGACTCTAGTTGCAGGTCCTGTCAGACATCAGCTGACCCTTTTGTGAGCACCACCCTGGAGCAAGCAGTCCAAGCTCCCTGCTGACACTTCATTATGCCTACTGATGTTGAGTCTGGGTAATCTGGAACCCAGAACATGACATACGATCTTTTGTCTGCATCACCAGTCACCACCCATCACAACTTGAGGCCCAGTGCCATTTCCTGTTTGTCCTCATCACCAAGGCAAGGCCAGTTAAGCCCTTGGGCACTTCCTGTGCCTGCACGATAAAGGGACAAGAGACATAGGGAGGAGGCCTGTGGAGTCCCATCACGGCAAGTTCCCTTCCTTACTGCACCCTGATTGCTCTGGCCCTGTCAATTCCTTACCTGGCAACTCCAGCCCTTGCATGCCTCTGTCCTCCACAGAGGATGAACTTCCTGCCTGTGACTCTGTTCCATGCGGGGACTCAGCTGCTAACGCCCAAGGTGAGTCTTGATCCCATATGATGCCAGCCCTTCTCTGGAGGACTCTGCAAACTCTAACCTCAGGCTCCTGGGATGTGTGGAGCCAGTTGAGGGTTAGCTGTCTCCGGAAATGGCACTTAATATTCCACATATTACTTGTAGCACAGGTCATGGAGGTAGAGCTTGTGGACATTGTGAGGGGACACAATGCCCTCTATGGAAGTGGTCCTGGCAAGTCATCCTGAAGATGTACAGTTTCCACAAGTCTGTCTGGAAGCACAGATGTTGTGGCTCTGGTCTGCTCTCTGTGGGTGCTGACTGTAGTGGACTGCATTCAACAGTGAGTACTTCTGCTGCTGTCATGTTCTGGCTGTGATGTGGGGTGAATGGAGAGGTATTACATCTGCGGTTTCTTCTTTTTTTTTTTTAACTTTTGTTCTGCTAATTTTTGTGAGACAACTTTCCCTTTTTTTTTGTTTGTGCCGTTCATGGGTAGATGATTTTTTCTCAGTCCCCCCACCCCCCGTTGGTAGTACCTTGCTGTTCACAACTGTCTGCTTCAAATTCTTTGGGATATAACTCCATAGCTTCAAAATCATATAACTTCTTGTTTCAGGATTTAGCCTTAAGTAAATCACCTTTCAGTCTCCAGGAGATTTCAGTTTTTGGCTGCCCATGTTGTCTCTGACTTTGTTCCTCAAAACAATCACTACACACCCAACTTGAATTGCTGTTTAACATTTTATATTTGGTATCATGGTAAGTGTTCTCCACCTGTTTCTTTTATTTTCCATACACCTGACTCTTCCTGGGTTTTATTGCTGGCAACGGTGTGTTAAGAGACATTCCTAAGCAGGACTAGTCCCAGCAGGGCCTGGGACATTCTTCAATTCTGTGCCCTAAGCTTGTGCTGTGTGTGCATGGGAGGAAGAAGTGGTCTGAGAGAAATTGCCCTGGTCCCAATCTTAATGGTTGTGTGACTGCTCTTACAGTGTGAGTGCTCTTTCTGATCCTATTACGGAACATGGCCCTAAGGCTTGGTTCAGACCCTGTGAGGGCCATTATTTTTCTGTGCTCAGGCCCTGCTGCTTAACAGTCCCATCCATGATCAGTAGTCAGGTTGATACCACCTAGATAATGGACCCATTGCTATAGAGAGCAGCATACAGACTGTGTCTCTCACAAAAGTGGGCTTAGTGCTGGTTACTAGGCTGTGTTGGCTATACCAGAAGGGCATGCTGACTGTATCACTAACCTGCCCGTCCCATTGTTCATTCCTGTCTTCTGGTGTTGTCTGTCCCCTCAGGTATGCCTGCTATTGCTCAGATAGTTCTTTATTCTCCTCTGTTGTCCTCCAACCTGGGAACTACACAGCCTCTGTTGACCACAAGGCTCTTCCTCCGTGTAGCATCACAGCGTTATCACAGCTGGTGTAATCGAAGACACAGAGTCATGGCCCTGAATTCCAGTGCTGTTGTTGCTGGAATCTTGGCATTCATCCTGTCCTTGAGTGTCTTGAGGGAAATCCTTCAGAATAGGCATCATCCTGTGCGACTTCTAGGAGGTCCCCAGGCAGAGCCTGATGCTGTTCAATAGAGAATTGTCTGTCCAGAAACAGAGTGAATGAGAGCGAGAGCGAGAGCGAGAGCAAGAGAGACAGAGACAGAGAGAGAAAGAGAGAGAGAGAGAGAGAGAGAGAGACAGACAGACAGACAGACACACAGACAGACAGACAGACACAGACACAGACACAGACTCAGACAGGGACAGAGAAACTGTGACAGAGAGACAGAGAAACAGTCATTGGAGCACCTTGGGAATCCCTGAGGCCATCTATTATTTAGATATGCCATGGTTCTCACCAGACTCAATTGTCATGGTCTACAGTCTCAGTGAATGGGTATCTATGCCGTGGGTGAGGCTACCCTCAATTTTGACTTGTCATTCTTGTAGTGAAATGTCCTGTCAGTTCCCAGATGACCTCTGTGGTCTGTAAAAATTTGAGGGTGAGTCTCGTAGTAATGTGATTAGGCATATATAGTGTTACCAGTTTCTACACTAGGGAGACAAGACGTTATTTACACTTGTGAGTTTGATATATTTCACTTATGAGTATGGTCTCCAGTTGCATCTATTTACTTATAAAAATCCCAACGTGATCAATCCTTACAGCTGAGTAGTACCTCATGGTATAAAAGTACCACATCTTTTTTATCCATTCTTCATTTGATGGGCATTTAGGTTGTTTCTAAGATCTGGCTATTACAAACTGTGCTGCTATAAACATGGGTGCACATCTACCAGTGTGGTATGATGTTTTCAATAATTCTGGGAATAGCTGGGTCAAATGGGACATCCAATCCCAGCTTTTTAGGAAGCTTCTGACTGACCTCCACAGTGCTTGTACCAGTCTACACTCGCACCAACAGTGCAGAAGAGTTCCTTTTTCCCCACAGCCTGTGCAGCATTTGTTGTTGCTAATTTTATCCTGGCCCTTCTTTCTGGTGTGAGATGGAATGTCATTGTGGTTTTAATTTGTATTTCTCTAATGACCCATGATGCTGAACATTTTTTCATGTTTTTATTTGCCATTTGTATTTCTTTCTCTGAGAACTGTGGATTCATCTCAGGTGCCCATTTTAAATTGGGTTTTGAATTTCAGGGGTCTGAATTTTAAAAATTCTTTATATAGTCTAGACAGAAGTCTTTTTGTCTGAAGGACAGTTCGTGAAAATGTATTTCAAAATTTATGGGTTTCCTTTTTATTCTGTTGTAGATTTCTTCCGACATGCAAAAAATTTTTAATAAGATGAGATCCCATTTATTGAATCCGGAAAATATTTCCTGTGCTTTTTGATTTTTGTTCATGAATTCTCTACCTACTCCTATGTCTTCAAGATTTCTACCTACTTTGACTTCCAGCAGATTTGGTGTTTCTGTTTTAATATTTAGGTCTTTGATTCATTTTGATTGGTTTAGTACATGTTGATAGGCATAGGTCTAGTTTTTATTTTTGGCATGTGGAGAGCGAGTTTTTCCTGCCCCATTTATTAAAGAGACTTTCTTGCTTCCAGTGAAAGTGTTTGGCCCCTTTATCAAAGACAAAGTGGTTGAGTGTGTTTGTAGTTGTAGTTGTGTGTTCTAATTTATTCCATTGATCTTCATGTCTGCTTTGATTCCAATACTGATTTTGTCACAGTAGCTTTGCAGTATAACTTCAAGTTAGGGATTGTGATGCCTCCTTAGGCAACTACTTTGAAGATGACAAGTTGCATCATGTTAGTCACTGTTGTTTTCCTATTATCTTGTTTTGAAGCCCCGTATGACTTTCATTGTCTTCTTTTGATCGGTTCTGTTCTGTTCTGTTTTTTTTCTTTTTATTATACCTGACCACACAGGCAGTTATTTTTTTTTTATCTAAAGAAAAGGAAACAAAAAAAATACATGGAGATAAAACAAAAAAAGGGTAGAAATAATACAAAATTACAGACAAACAAAAGGTAAGAAATTGCCGGTTGATAAGTTACACATTGTCATCTTAGAAATAGCTGTTCAGGTTATAGAATTAAAGTATTTAGAATGACATTCAAAAAGTGACCCTACAAACCATTCTGCTCTATGATCGAACAAAAGCTCAGTAATATTATTATCAGTCCTACACATTTGTTTTACATCTCAAAGAGGGTAAGATTAAACATATCAAAACAGAACAGAACATTAAAAAAAAAACAATTTAAAGAAATACAGATTTCAAAGCAAGTCCACTGGAGATCTTCATTATCTAACTATCTCTAGTTTCTTATAAATAGTTGTCCCTATCTTCACCCACTTTATATACTTATTGCATATTATAGAACTAATCAAATCATTACAGGATGATGAAGTCTTTTTAGGTCCTCAAGTTCCAAATTAGGGAAGACAATAGTAACTACCATCGCATCTCTCATTCTCTTTGTGATAGCCATCCCCATCGCTACATATGCTGAAGTTGAACTCAAGAAACCAGTCCAATGTCATTCTAATCAGCGAACAATAGATTGCTAGAATTTATATTATAATGCTACAAAATAAGCCTCGGGTTTCTCAGCGTCTCTTCCTCAGAGTATCTGTTCCTTACATCTTGCATTACATAATCTGTTCCCGTAAATAATTTAAAAATAAAAAAAAACCCATGTGTGAATTTCTACCTATATATCCATCCTCTCTGTATTATAGGGAAAACCAAGTCATAGCAAGACAGCAAAACAATTTCCTAGAACAACATGCAATGGATAAGACATATAAGACTACAATATAAATGATCTTCCATAACTACTATGTTTTCTCTTGTTATTTTCAATAGATTTGTCCACAACACTGGCTTATTATAGTTAAACATAGTATCACCTATTTTTATAAAAACTTAACTTTGACAGCATTGTAGGATTTGAGAGCTGTTACTAATTAATACCAGTATGGATATCCTTTACATCTTGTCATGCTCAGAGTAATTGCCTCTACTTTTAGGGTTGATGCTAACAAGCATACCAATTTCAAATAGAATCAGCCAAGGCCAACCAATAGTCTTATGATTCAGATTCAATTAAGATCATCATAGTAAGACGATGTAAGTAATACAGGATTTCAGTTTAAGTTAATAGGAAAGTAAGGATAGTTACCATGGTATAACCTGCTATTTTTGGTTCTAGAGGTCTGTGCCCTCAAATCTGACATGAGTGGACAGACCCGAACAAACTAAATTCAATCCAAATATGGCACTAGGACTACTGTGTCTTTTAAATCGTTATACACCATTAACAATGACCTCTTCTTTTTTTAAAAATATAGTTTCAGAGCTGTCTATACTAAAGACTATAGCTTACCATCTCTGCCTCATGTCTGCTACTCCACTTTTCTGCTATAATTTGTCCACCTTATTCCCTCATTCCATTGTCTGCCCCATTCACTGAGGCCTCTCTGCCACTGTTGCTTTAATCCTGGTATCTCTTCCTCTCTTTCTCTGTAATGTCCTTCAGCGCTCTCTGTAGGGTTGGATTGGTGGCCACGAACTCCCACAGTTCCTCCTTGTCTTCAAAGTATCTTATTTCTTCATTAACTTTTAGAGAGAGTTTTGATAGGTATATGAACTTTGGTTGCATATTTTTTTCTTTCAGGACTTGGAATATTTCTCCCCACTCCTTTCTTGACTTAAGAGTTTGTGTTGATAAGTCTGCTGTTATTTTGATAGTTTTCCTGTTATAGGTAATCTGCATCTTTTCTCTGGCTGCTTTTAATATTCTGTTCTTTTGGTGCATTTCTGGGATCTTGATTATTATATGTCTAGGCGTAGATCTGTTTTGGTTGTAGGTAGCTGGTGTTCTGTATGCCTCTTTTATCTGGATATCATTTCTTTTTGCTATACGTGGGAAATTTTGCTTTAATATATCTGTGAATATTTTTTGTATTTCATTTTTGGTTGCTCCTGCTTCCTCACTCACATTCTTTATTCTTAGGTTATGTATCTTTTTGTCATCCTCCAGTTTTTGAATTGCTTCTTTCTGGTTCCTTATTATTTTTAAGAGGCTTTTTCTTTCACGATCATATGCCCTAAATCTCTCTTCAAGTTTCAGAAGGCTGTCTTTAGTTACTGTCAAGGCATTTTGCCAGTGTTCAATGGAGTTTTTAGTTTCCTGATATTCTCTTTGGATCTGTTTCATGTATTCTAAGTTATGTTTAAATTCTTCTTCAGAAGTTTCTCTTTCTTTTCTGATTTCCTCAGTTCTTCCATCTGTGTTCTCTTGGGCGGGGCTTGTCATTTCTTTAATTAATCTCTTTATATCTTGCCTCACTTGAATCAGGAGTACACCTTTATATTCATCTATGAGATCATGTAGGTACTTTTTAATTTTGGCTGATGCTGTGTCGAGTAATGGATGGTTACTGTGCTTGTTCTCTTCAGTGTTTAGTTCTCCTGGGCTTATTTTCCCCTGTTGGGCAGCTGGAGATTTTTTTTTTTAATTTTTATCTCTTGTCATGTTTCTGGTTTCTTTCAGACTGTCCTGGGGTTCTCTGGCCCTCTCTGAATTGCTTAGGGCCTTTCAAAAGCATGCTGGCTTGAGTTTTTGCTGTCCTCTCCAATTTACTGTTATCTGGGGTAGGCTGGGATGCAGGGGTGGTATAGGCTAGTCTCTAGCCTCTGTGCCAGTTAATTCATAAATTAGGCTGTACTTTCTGGATGTCACTGAGTTTTGACTATTTTGTATCCGCTTATTGGGCCCCAAGCAGAGGCTTGGTTTAGCCCCAGTACCTCCTGCCAGTTCTCTTTGTACCAGAAGCAGCTGAGTAATGTCACTATGGCACAGGGTTCTGCCCAAATCCCAGCCGTTCTCTTCCAAACCTCTCTGTGACAGGAGCACCAGAATAGCAGATCTGCCCAAAACCAAGATGTCTCCCACTAAGTTCTCTGTGTGGAGCTGAAGCCAGCACTTAATCAGGCTCTGCCAGATTTCAAGATGTCTTCCACCAGCCCACCCTACAGGGGGACCTGGTGATGTCACCAAGCTGAAGTTTCTGCTGCCAGGCTAAAATGTCTGCCGCCAGACTCTGTGTTATTGATTTCCCCGTGGTGGCAGGCCAGCTGTTCTCTGGCCAAACCCAGCAGCCGCAGGTTTCCCAGTACTCACCAGAGTCCGGCGCAGGTCCTCATTCTGGGTCCACCGCACACCAAGCGGCCCACCTTTCCCGCACTCCCAGGCACAGCATGAAATGGTGCACAGCGTGCGCTCCCCGCACAGCGTGGAATGGTCAGATATCTACACACCTTTTAGATTTGAAACTCCAGAGCCTTGTACATCTCCTCTGGTGCAGCGGTGCAGTCCTGGCTGCTACTGGGAGTCCCGGGTCTCAGTTTCCCGCAGTCACCAACAGCAACACAGCTTTTCCTGCTGGGTCCACAGGTCAGTTTGTTGATTTAAAGGCGCGGGATTTGCAGCCTCCCATTATCAGCGTTCACGGTCTCAGCACGACTTTAAATCCTCCAGCTGCACTGTCTTGGTTAATAAGAATTGCTATCGATTTGTCTGGCCCTCTCCATGTTGTCATATTCTAGCTTCTAGTATGAATTCTCCGGAGAGACTCTTCCCTCGATCCCCTAGCAAGCCGACATTTTTTCTCACCACAGGCAGTTATTTTGAACATAAACAAGAGGCATTATGGTGGGCATTATTGATTTCCTTTTATCTTGTTTTGAGGCCCTGTACCACGTGTATTATTTTGTTTTGATCGACTCTATTCTGTTTTATTTCATTTGGGTTTATTCCCTTCAAAATAAAAAAGAAATCATTTCAAATATAACTGCATTTGTGCAGCACACAACACTGGCACTACAAACACTTTACTATCCAATTAGCAGATGTGAGGGCTACAAAGAAAATGAGAACACCCTAGTCTCTTTTCTGTTGCTGTCTGTGGATGTTACCATGGAAGAAATGTTTGTTCTTATGCCCATTCCCTCACTAAGAAAACTAGACTACAGCTGTGGGATGGAAACACAGAAGGATCAAAGCACCAAGGCTGCAGACAAGTTAGTGTTGACATCTACTGTAAATGACAGTTAGCAGTGCGGTGTTCCCTCATGCTACTACATCATGGAACACTGCTTCCTCTTGAGCCAGCCCTTAATTTCAATATTCCAATACGTGTACCCAGGTCAATATTGGACTCAGTTTTCTGGGTCCTTTAATTTGCTATATATATACTCTACACTAAATGTGATTAATTACAAAAAAGAATCACTTCAAGAAACTTTTATAACAAAATAACAGATTCCCTGTTAACAAGAATAGGGGGACAAATTTAATAGGCCAAACTTGCACAGATGGCACAACAGTTCTGACTTGAGACCCCCTGTGTTGAAGGAGTCACTAGCAGAAACTGCTAGGTGTTGTAGGAGCTGTAATTTTCTGAGTCGAGTGGGAAACAAGAATGTTTCTTTCCCACTTAGTCATCCTCTGAGCTCTCAGCAGATCTTTCATCTGTAGCCACTTTCCTATCTGTGCGCTTGTTTCTCCTTTTCAGTGCTTTACTGTTAGCTACAGCAGGGACATGGGCTGTTTCTTCTCTCTTTTCCTTTTGGATTTCTTAGTGTCTCTCTCCTCACTTTTTTTGGAACTACTACATGCTGAACCCTCTGATTTGGAAGTGTGACTTTCTGCCCCTAAAAATATAACTGGTTTTTGAGAGACTTTTTCCTGGATTTTTTTCTAGGGCTCATGTGGTCGCTTCCTTTTCCTGGTACTAGAAGCACTGGTTTCTTCTGAGAACTTGCTTGAGGAATCTGCTATTACATCTGTGGCTACTTTCTTGCTTCTCTTCTGTTTTTATGCGTGATCTTTTCTTCTTCTTCTTTTTTTTTTTTTTTTTGCGGTGTAACCACTTTGACTTCTTTTGTTTGTGGGATGATTGTATCTGGGGAGATGTTTTTTCCCCCATTGGAAATATCCGACTGCTCACTACTGTCTGTTTCAAATTCTTCAAACTCCTTATAACCACTGTGAACTCATTGGCCTGGTATGATAGGTTCATAATCATATGACTTTTTGTGCTAGGATTTAGCCTTAAGAAAACCCTCTTCCAGTGTTCAGGAAATTTCAGATTTTGGCCTCCAATATTCTCTCTGACTTTCTTCCTCAAAATCATCACTATGCATCTGACTTGAACTGCTGGGTAACATTTTCCTTTTGGTTTCCTGGTAAGTATCCTTCATCTGTTTCTATACTTCTCTTATTTTTCTGATTGTTCCTGAATGATATTGTGAGTATTTGTTTGCTGGGTAACGTTGCTAAGGAGAATCCTCCCCAGTTGAACCCTAGACATTTTCAGTCCTATGCATGTGTGGAGGGAGGAAACAATGTTTGAGAAACTGCACTGGACCCAGTCTTAATTGTTGTTATGTCTCTGCTCACACAGTCCTAGCACTCTCTCTCATCCTATCAGTGAATATGCTTATGGTGTTTAGGTTCAGATCCTTATCAGGGCAAAGAGATTCCTGTGTTCATTCAAAATCACCAGTGAGAGGCCTCATGGTGGTCCTGCTTAGATAAGGGGCCCATTGCTACCGAGAGCAGAACATACTGAGTCCCTTAACTTACAAGGAAGTTCTTCGTGTCACTTTGGAAACTTCGATGACTACACCAGGAAGGTACATTGGCTGCATCCCAGACCATCCAGTACCATTATTCACTACTATCTGGCAGGTGTTGGCTGTCACTTCAACTTGCCTGGTTTCTCTCAGACACAGCGTTTTCCTCTTCTCTGTTACTCCAGCCTGGGAGCCAAATCACCTTTGGTGGCTACAAGGCTCAACCTCCCTGTAGTCTCACTTCATTCTCACAACTGCAGCCATAGAAAACACAGACTCATAACCCTGAAGTCCAGGGCTTGTGCTTTTAGAATGTTGGTGTGCTCCAGTCCTTGAGTGTGTGTCTGAGAAATCTCTCAGATCCAGCTCCAGTAAATGGAGTTTCTAGGAAACCCCAAAGAAAATCCTGATGCTGTTCAGAAGAGATTTCGTGTCCTGAGCAGAGAGAGAGAGAGAGAGAGAGAGAGAGAGAGAGAGAGAGAGAGAGAGAGACAGCGAGAGAGACAGCGAGAGAGACAGAGAGAGAGACAGAGAGAGAGACAGAGAGAGAGAGACAGAGAGAGACAGCGAGAGAGACAGCGAGAGAGACAGAGAGAGAGACAGAGAGAGAGACAGAGAGACAGAGAGAGACAGAGAGAGACAGAAAGAGACAGACAGAGACAGAGAAAGAGAAAGAGATATCTGGGGTACCTTGGGTTCCCATGGCCTGTTGTTACTCATGTATGCTGTGATTTTTACCAGGTAAATTATAGTGATTTGTGTCCTAGTGAATATCCATGCACATTGGAGGGCTACCACCAAATTCAGATTGTCAATCCTGTAATGGGGTCAGCTGTTATTTGCTTGATGAAGTTTGTCGTTTTTAAGACCTTCAGGATGTGTCTCCCAGAAATGGGCATGAGCACGGTCTGCAGAAGAACCTTGGAGCCACATTTTGCAAGATGAGTCTCAGAAGGGGGCCTTAGGACACATGCTCTTCCATGATCTGGATTCTTTGGATATATGCTCCCATGTGGAACGTTTTTTCCCCTGGTTCTGAGTGTGACATCTATAACTGGGTGAGGTTGGAGTGGTACTGACCTGTTTGTATCTCCAGGCTCTGATTGTTGGTCCTACCACATATCAGTTGCTACTTTCATGAGCACCAGTCTTGATCAAGAAGACCAATTATCCTGGTGACATTACATTTCCCCTCTTGGTGTTGATTTTGGGCACCCTGAAACTCGAAACATTACACAGGGCATTTTGTCTGCAACACCAGTCACCACCCATCACAACCTGAGGCTCAGTCCCGCTTCCTGTGTGACTCCCTCCTCCAAAGATCAGATTCAAGCAGGGCTCAGCCTCCTTATAGTATCTCAAACTTATCAGAATTGGGGACCTCAAAGACAAATGTCATGCCCCCATATGAGTCAAACCCTTATGACAAATCCCTGCCTACTTCCTGTGGCTGCAGGATAAAGAGGCCAAGATGCTTAAGGAGGAGGAGTGTGGATTCTTGCCAATGTAAGTTCCCATCCCTACTGCACTCCTCTGACACTTTCTGTTCCTTACCTGGCCAGTGAAGCTCCTCCATGCCTGTCTCTCCACAGATGTGGAGCCTGCTGTTTGTGATTTTAAGCCTCATAGGTGGGTCTGCTCCTAAGCCTCAAGGTAGGTCTTGATTCTATAGCATGCCATGGTGCACTGGAGGCCTCAGAAACCCTGGCCTCTGGGTCCTGGGATGTGTGCAACAGGTTGAGAATTGCCTCTTACAGCTCAGCTTTCCTCAAGCTTTACATATTACTTCTAGCACCAGCTATCGAAAGAGAGCTGGTGGGCATTGTCGGAGGACACAATGCTCCAAAGGGGAAGTGGCCCTGGCAAGTCAGCCTGCAGGTGTACCACTATCGCTTGGCTTCCTGGCAACACATATGTGGTGGCTCACTCATCCACCCGCAGTGGGTGCTGACTGCTGCCCACTGCTTTAAAAAGTGAGTATTTCTTGGGCTGTTGAGTTCTGGGTACAATGTGGGGTAAAGGAGGGTGGTTTGGGAGACAGAATTGGAATTGGAGACACAAATCCTGACTCTGGGTGGTTCTGCTCAGAACTTTTGATCCTTAACCCATCGTGCTCAGTGAGTACTATGTAATGGGCTTTTGGGGCTTCTTTCTGACCACAGTCAAAATGAGGATCCATCAACCTACCGCATCATGGCTGGGGATGTTTACCTCTATGGAGGCCACAAGCTGTTGAGCGTGAAACAGATCATTGTTCACTTGGACTTTGTTGATGTTACACTGGGTGCTGATGTAGCACTGGTACAACTGGCCGAACCCGTGCAAAGCTCTGCAGATGTCAAGCCTATCAAGCTGACCTCTCTGAATCATGAAGTCACCCAGAATGCTGAGTGTTGGGTGACTGGGTGGGGCCGAACAAGTAAGAACGGTAAGTGTTGGGAACAGTCCTGATATGTTCCATCAAGTGCCACAGCAGCTGAAGCCTAGACAAATCTAGAACATGCATTTAGGCCTGAGGGCAGAAACATTTCGTATTATTTGCACAAAATAAGAGGCCTTTTACGAAACAACAGCACCCCAACTCCTTTATTTCTCTGCTTCTTCGATCAATAGGGGGAGATACTCATAGGTCAAAGCTGAGGATCTAGAGGGACATAGGCCAGTGCATTTTGAGTTCTCCATATGTTCTGTGGGAAGGGCAGTTCAGGATCACTGTTCTTGAGAACTGGATTGCGTGTATGTGATCTTAAGCCAGTTTGTGGTGCTCACCAGGATAGTCATGTTTTAGTTGAGGATCGGTCCGAGCTGTGCTAGCAACAATCCTGTCTCCATCTGCTCTCCCGTACCCCCAGTTTTGCTGCCACCACCTTACCATCTGCAGCAGGTGAACGTGCAGGTGATTGAGACCTCTGACTGTGAGCAGCTGTACCAGAAAACTAATAGATATGGCCACCATAACAGGAGGATTATCCTCGATGACATGCTGTGTGCTGGCACTGAGGGACATGGACCATGCTTTGTAAGTCATTTCTGATTTCCCTAAGACCACTGCAATCATTTAAACTTCAGGGTCAGTATTCATCCTCTCTTTTCATTTCCAGGGTGACTCCGGTGGCCCACTTGTCTGTAAGGACTCAGATTCTTGGATCTTGGTGGGAGTGGTCAGCTGGGGCCATGACTGTAGCTGGAGTAATGTTCCTGGCATCTTTGCTGGCGTTGAGTTCTATGTGCCCTGGATCAAGCAGCATATTCAGAGTTCCTCCTAAGTCCAGTCTACTGCTCTCCACTGGTCAAAAAGGAGGTGCCTGGTGCCCTGGTACCAGTGGCTGGGCCTGCAGCTTCTCTTACATGATGCAGATTCAACTTTTTCCCTAAACTCCTTGGAGCCCTAGAATTTCCTGAATACTCCAGGGTGAGAGCCTGTGCCTGGCTCTTGTGGCCTGTTCCTGAGGGGATGCTGCAAAGTGTGCAGGGCAAGGGCCCGAATTCCTGGCACCGGAATTTGCTAAGCACCCAGCTGTTGGAGGACAACTCAAATTTTTCTGCTTTCTGCCTATGCTAAATAAAGATACTATGAAAAATCATGATGAGATTTCATGCTGAGAAGCAATTGTCCTTTCATTTACTGAAAAAGCAAGATTGCCATTTGATTGCTTCTTTCCAGATGAGACACCAAGGCCTTAAACCTCCACAGTTGGAGCTCATGTGAGCCCTAGGTCTGCACATGACAATCTTTATTCTGTGTCCCACACCCTATCTTGTATCTTGGGACTCAGGGACAGTTATCAGATTTAGCACTTGTCAAGGTGTTCTCTCAATGACAGAGAACCTCACCTATGTCCTGGACTAGAATTTAAATATCTTGCACAAGAAAGCAGGTGACCAGGAATGAGGGTCCTATTTAACCACCTTCCATATCCTGAAAGGCGCAGTCCTTCAGCCCAGTCCAGAAGGGCCGTGCTTCAGTCCCTGCTCCAGATCTTCCAGGTCTCCCAGAATGGGAGGTGAGAATTCAAGGGATGGAAGTATGTGAGCCCAGAATCCACATACCCTGTCTCTACCATCTGGAGGGACATCACTTGCACACACAGATCAACAAATCCTTGACAGGGCACCTCACTATCAGCTGTCACTTTAGTGACCAGAGAGAGCTGCACTTTCAAATACCTGCATCTGGCCCAATCAGAGAGTGGACACTCATGACCCAGACATGCCACCCAGTGAGCTGGCATGCAGCAAGCTCAAGAGCCACCACTGCTGATTGACTGGCTTCCCTAGCTGGGGATGTTCCCTATAGACTGAGTCCCAGTGTTGTCATGGAGTGTGGCATGGTGCTCCCAGCCTGCAGTTTCACTAGGTTACACAGTATTGTCACTTATCTCAGATGCAGCTCTGTTCCCTTGCTGCATTGTCTGTATCACTCTTCTTGCAGTCTCCCCAGGGGCAATCACTGGAGAGTTGGGAGAAGGTAACAGTTCCCATTGTCTTTTCTGGTCATCTCTCTACCCATGGTCAGTCCTCAGGTACCTTTAGTTTCTTTTTTGCACTGCACTTTCTGACTCACGTCTCGAAATGAGGAAAGCAAAGTGAGGTCACTCTAAGTGTGTGTATTATTGTGAGCCCGAGATATGCACACAATAATACTCTCTCTGTCCCCCAGGGCCGGTATGCCAGGACCATTATCAAGTTTAGATCTGGTTACCCTGTTCCCTCAAGGGCAGAGCACTGCACAAGCTTCCTGGAGCCCAGACTCATTGTGCCATACAGGTGCAGAGTGGGGCTGACAGGCTGCAAATCTGGCCTGGCCTAAGTGATCTATGGCATGGGAAGGTGGTGATTCTTGTGTGAAGCTGAGAATGGTGGGGAGGTGTGAAGGATATTGAGGGAGATGGGGAGTTACCACTCATCCTGGCCTCCCACTGAGTTCTGAAAAATTTCTACCCCGCTGACCCCCATTTCAGCAACATTGCTTGGTCCATGGGAAAACCCTGGGCAGTGCTCCCTTCTTACCCCTTTGTAGGATCTCTAGGAATACAGAGGTGCATAGACAACGGGCGGGTCTCAGTGGTCTCTCAACAGGGGTGAGTAGAAAGTATTGGAGTACGATCAGGTGACATCAGTTATCATTTCAAAGGACTTGGAAAATATAGCATCAGGAGGGCCACATCTGTGGCCACTGAATGTCTGACTGAGTAGACCCTTGCCCCTTTTCTTCTATGGCTGATGCCCTCCCCTGACAACCCTTACACGACTCCTCCAGAAAGAAACGGGTGAGTCCTCAGCTCCTGATATGCTGGACCACACATGATTCTGGTGAAAGAGGCTCCAGCCCCTCTACATGGCTGGGATATAGGATTTGGTGCCCCATTCCTTTCACTGCAAATTTCCTCTTAGGCTCTGACAATGACTAGGCTCCCTGGGATTTTGCCAACAGTGCTCCCAGGAGATAGGACTATTAGCAGCGGGGGACAGTGCTCACTTGAATTCCAATTGAAACTTTAATCATGAAACCTGTGCCCACTGGATCCTCAGTGCGACCAATGAGTACTGTGTGCCTTCTATAGCATTAAGAGCGCTGTGCCTTCAGCATATTTCTGTGTAGCTCATGACAAACTCTGATGAAAAAAGGTTGTTTACCTTGTCAGTATTTGCTGTCAGAAACTACATGAACCCCCTCTCATTTCTTCAAAACAATTGTCCCTGAGAAAAAGTAGTGTAGTTCGCACCAGGTGCCTGGAATACACATTTTGTGTTCCAAAAAGTCTTGATAAATTCAGAGATCTTGTAAGCAGAACAGGGTACAGACTTTGTAACAAGTATTATCTGAAAGATAGTGTGATTTAGGAAACGTAGTGCAACAGAGAGGAGAAACTACCTCCCTGCCCATGTACTAAATCAGCTTGAGACAGTTAGGGGTCATGATAACCCTATGTTGGCACTGACTGCTGGAATGACAATATAAGCCATTGGGCACAGTAAACTGTTTGCAGCAAGCCATGGTTCAATAAACCTGCCAGGAGACGTTGCTCAAAGCACAGAAGAAGAATATTTGCATGGGATGGGAAACTGCTACAGAAATTCTTTAAAGAATTTTTCCAGCTTGGCTTGCTCTTTACAAGTTAAGAAGCACTAATTGGGAGACTATAGGGCTGTGCAATACATTACTATTGTCGCAGTAGCTCTACTGCAGAGAACATCTCTCTTTTGGAGGTTATGATCGTGATGATCTTGGTTACTTCTGGAAACCCAAATGCTACTTTGCTTGCCAACACTGAGTCTGCATGTGTGCCTGCACATATCTGAGGGATGACTAAGATGGCATGAAAAATTGGACATTTGTTGCCTTAATCCTTGAGTCAGGTGTCAATCAAGGTATTCCTTGAAAGACTGGTCATGCAATAAAATGGAGAAAACTTGTGATTTCACTGCTATGCACTTTTCAAATGTTGGGGTCTGCAGCAATGCAATAAGCATCTGGGCACTGTGGGCGGTTGTGTGGGCCAGCTGGCCACCACTAGAGCTGTGGATCCTGTTCAGACAAGAGGCCCATTGCTATAAAGAATAGCACACAGTGTGACTCCCACAAAGGTGACCTTCATGTGGCTTACTAGGCTGTGTAGGCTATACTAGAAGGGCATGCAAGGTGCATGCCTGACCTCCCAGTACTATTGTTAACCCCTGTCTGAAAGATGTTGGCTGTCATCTCACACCTTTTTTTTCACAGACACAGCCTTGTGCTCCCTCTCTTTTCCTCCAGTGTGTGTGCCAGGAAGACTCCGGGGACGACAGAGCTCAGCCTTCTTGCAGTATCCCATCATTTTCACAGCTGTGTCCCTCAAAGGAAAACATTCATGTCCTGAATTCCAGTGTTGGTGCTTCTGGAGTTTTGCAACCCACCCTGTCTTTAAATGTCTGTGTGGGAAGTCCCTCAGATTCGGCAGCAGCAGTGGAACTTCTAGGAAATCCCAAAGCAAAAGCCTGATGCTCTTTGGAGGAGAATAGTTTGTCCTTAGTGGTAACACATACACGGACACACAGACACAACACACACACACACACACACACACACACACACACACACACAACACACACACACACACACATACACACACAGACACACATACATAGAGAGACAGAGAGAGACAAAGAGAGAGACACGGTGACAGAGACAGAGACAGAGAGAGACATAGAGAGACAGAGACAGAACACAGGAGGAAAAAAAGGTGAATCAGCTGGGTCACCTTGGAACTCTTACAGCCCATGTGTTACTCAGATATGCCATGGTGCTCACCATGGTCCGTCACAGTGGTCTAGAGTCTCAGATAATGGGTATGTATTCTCTATGATTGGGCACTCCAATTGTGGATTCCCAGTTCTGTATTGAGATGGCCTGTCAGCTCCCTGATCAACTCTGTGATCTTTAAGACCTTGAGGATATGTCTCCCAGTAATGTGCTTGGGAACAGTCTGCAGGGACAGCATGGAGGCCATTTTTCGAAGAGAGGTCCAGCTGGAGGCCTTGGGACACATGCTCTTCCATGGTCTGTATACTTTGTATGTGTGCTCCGCATGTAGAATGTTTGTTTCCCTTGTTCTGAGTGTGACTTCTACCGTGAGGGCAAGGTTGGGGAGGTACTGACCTGCTTGTATCTCCAGCCTCTAGTTGCAGGTCCTGTCAGACATCAGCTGACCCTTTTGCGAGCACCATCCTGGAGCAAGCAGTCCAAGCTCCCTGCTGACACTACATTTCGCCTACTGATGTTGAGTCTCGGTATCCTGGAATCAAGAACACGACATACGATCTTTTGTCTGCATCACCAGTCACCACCCATCACAACTTGAGGCCCAATGCCATTTCCTGCTTGTCCTCATCACCAGGGCAAGGCAAGTTAAGCCCTCGGGCACTTCCTGTTCCTGCACGATAAAGGGACAAGAGACCTAGGGAGGAGGACTGTGGAGTCCCATCACGGCAAGTTCCCTTCCCTACTGCACCCTGATTTCTCTGGCCCTCTCCATTCCTCACCTGGCAACTCTAGCCCTTGCATGCCTCTGTCCTCCACAGAGGATGGACCTCCTGCCTTTGACTCTGTCCATGTGGGGACTCAGCTGCTAAGGCCCAAGGTGAGTCTTGATCTCATATGATGCCAGCCCTTCTCTGGAGGACTCTGCAAACTCTAACCTCAGGCTCCTGGGATGTGTGCAGCATGCTGAGGGTTAGCTGTCTCAGGACATGCCTCCTAATGTTCTACGTATTACTTGTAGCACAGGTCAGTGATGTAGAGCTTGTGGACATTGTGAGGGGACACAATGCCCTCTAGGGAAGTAGTCCTGGCAAGTCAGCCTGAAGATGTACAGTTTCCACAAGTCTGTCTGGAAGCACAGATGTGGCGGCTCCCTGGTCTGCTTGCTGTGGGTGCTGACTGCTTCCCACTGCATTCATAAGTGAGTACTTCTGCTGCTGTCATGTTCTGGGTGCAATGTGGGGTGAGTGGAGAGGTATTAGATCTGTGGTTTCTTCTTTTCTTTTCTTTCTTTTTTTATGTTTTTCTGCTCTTTTTGTGAGACATCTTTCCCTTTTTTTGTTT